TACCACCAGATGCAATTGAAGTCGTGTTACAGGCTGCAATCCCTGGGCTTCGATTCAATCGACAGAGCTGTCTCAACTGCCTGTAACTCCTTAATCTGGCTTAGGTTAAAACAGGCAAGGTAGCAGAAATCAGCACCTCATTTCTAGTCAGTTTGCAGTGAAAACGTACCGATTAATTTCACTTTAAACAAAAAAAAGTAAATCGAATAAAGTGAAAATAAGATTGCGAATCCTCATAATTTTACCTTGCCAATTGAAAATTTAAATCTCAGAATTTTATTCAACTTAGGATAAAAGTTGTTTATTAAACGATCATGGTTTCAAACCGCTATTATTGGTTTGTATTACAAGGGGTTATGCGCATTAGATGAAACACCTAGAACAAGTATGGTTGGTCTAAGTTAACGCTCATCAGTACTGCACGTGTATTTGTTTCACTGTTCCAACAACTACGCTTACCCCCTTGTAATACAAACCAATAATAGCGATTTGAATCTATGATCGTTTGTTAAACAACTTTTATCCTAAGATGAATAAAATTCTGAGATTTAAATATTCAATTGGCAAGGTAAAATTACTAGGATTCGCAATCTTTATTTCACTTTATTTTATTTACTTTTTTTTGTTTAAAGCTAAATTCATCGGTACGTTGTCACTGCAAACAGACTATAAATTAAACGTTACCACTTTCTCCTGAGATGTAAAATTAATGATGCTTCCCATTGCTTCCATTTGGACATGCAACTGGTCTGAACCTGATCATATATCACATTATGGTCATGACGCTATAATTTCTCATCCTTAATAGAAACGTGTTACCAGACGAACCTTTGTCGTACATGTACTTTACTTACCATCGATTTGCTATGATGTGAATACTTGCATTGTTGTTTCCCTTTAAATGTCTAGCCGCCTCCGTGGTGTAGTGGTTAGAGCGTCCGCCCGGAGAGCGAAAGGTCGCGGGTTCGTTTCCCGACCGCGTCATATAAAAACACGTTAAAATATGGTACTTGCTGGTCCTTGCCTTGTGCTCGGCATTAATGAGTAAACCAAGGACTGGACGGCCCGGAGCGGAGTCAATATAATGTGTCTGAGTGGGGCATTCATGCTTCACTGCGGCATGGTATCTGGGTGGGCTAGCACTATAAAACCAGCTTAAGTCTGGGATAGATATATGCGCAAACTATTCTTAAGTACGATGTTCACCTCACCTTATATATGTCATGATATGTTATCGTTCAATAACAATCAAATAGACTGTTCCCTTAAAAGGATTTACCCATTTGAACTTGAAATATTGAAGACAAGTGGGACAGCTTCCTGTGTTTCATATTTGGATCCATGCATAAAGATTCAGAGTGACAAACACTCTCCACAAGGCTGTATGTTTTTGTTTCTGTCGATCAATATTCTAACAGTTCAAGCCATTGGTGTGCACATTTCACAACTTTTGAGGTAAATCGTGCATGCACCTTTCATCAAGATTTTAAGAGTTACACATGCTCTTACTTAGAAGCTGGTCGATTAAGGTTACAACATTCAAAGCTACTGTTACGATTTCAAAACGTTTCATGGGTAGACATGAGGAGGACATTTCCAAATTTGACGTAAATGACGTCCGATGCAATACCAGATTTACTTGGCCGTCAAAACTCTCAATCGTCGTCAGTATTGGCGTGTCGGGATTGTGAGATGCGGAATATTTCGTTCCGCTTATGAGCATGTGTTTTGTAATAGATGACCGGATGTAATAAATGGAGCATGTTGTCGGAAAACCGAAACAGTTATGTGGTGATCAACTGAATTGTCCATACTGCAAACTAACAAGTATCTGCCTGTAAAAGCATCCACAAACTTCGGCGACAGCAAGGTATGAATGGCAGCACAAGTCCTGAAACTGAATCGTGATAAAACAGAATTCTTACTTTGATTTCGAATTTGATAATTTGTAATTCAACATCGACGACTGTACTACCCGTCCTACTGGTACACACGCGCAACGTGTCAACACTGATTGTACCATAAGCAAAGGATTTGTGAAACCGTCTTGAAACACCCCAAACAGACAAACTAAGTCTGGCACACAGAGTTTGGCTGATGCCACCGGGGGTTCTGTCATGACACATGTCCAACAGACCAACAAACATGTGTCGGCTATGGACGGTGTAATTAAGACATTGCCGGGAAGCCAAATCGATTCGAAAAGCCACCAGAAAGCAAAATAATGGGATTTGTTGGGTGTGGGATTGTCCAGCTTTCAGAAGCTTATGGTGTCTAGCGTGGGGAGGAAAGGAACGGTAAATGAGATTATCCTCAACACATTATACTGCGCAATCCACCTGAGGGTGTTTCTGGCGTTGGCAGAGTCTTGTGTTAGGTTCTAAGGTGTTAGGTGTTAAGACACCATCCAGCCCGAATGAGAGCATGAGTAAGGTGAACACTATCTGAACAACACTGCATTTATATACACGTTGAGGACCATTGATGGAAGCGATGGAAATAGCCCACATTGATATCAGTATCAGGCCAACTGAATTCATTTTGATACGGCCTTTAATCTTTGACCGTGTAGTTATTGTTTTAATCTCTACGTCAATATCTGTTCAGATAAATCTAAGGTAACTGTATTATATCTGGGGACAATTCGATCGATATAGATGTTGATCGATTGAAACCTATATTCAGAAGTATCTATATACCGGAACAGATTAGTTAAGGATTCCTTTTTCCATCCGGAAACTATTGGGCAGTCCGTACTGGCCACACTCACGTTTGTTGGTGACCCCTCTCATATTGACCACGCTCACCCTATGATTATGTATGACCTGGTTTACATCCATCAATATTTGTCGACGTCCTCATTCGGAAAGCAATCTCACACTGACTTTGGTCTGATCATATAACCTTTGACCTGACTAATGTAACCCGATGTTCCTTATTATTGACCGTCGGTCGTATGGAACAACTATAAATTAAATTCTGTCAAAGGAAATCGATAATTACTCAATCTATGGTCTATGGGAAGAAAATGTTATTAAAGGCGGCTGGCGTTGTATCTTTCTACAGAACTATGTCTTTAGCCAACAACTTGACTCTTTCACGAAAGTCAGTGAATTGTTATCGTTCTGAAACGTTTGGGGTTACTAAGCAAACACGTACTGGCACATACATGTATGCACTCGTGTATCCCCTTGTTCGTGGAACCGTCTTTGTGGTCCTGTGGACAAGGTTTCGACTCGGAGAGCGGCTGATCGATGGTGGATGGTTCGAGCCCGCGTCACATCAAAAGCATTTATATATGATATTTGTTGATATCATAAGCAGTATTACGATATCAATTAAGGATAGGGGTACAGTAATATGGGGAGTGGTATTCAAATTAATGTGGGACGTGGTATTTCAGTCGAGTGATTGAGTGAATATTGCTAAACGCCGCATCAGGAATTTGGCAGCTATTCGTTGCGAGCATCTCAGTTGAGACGCACTTTGAGACTGGTACAAACAGCCACTGAATGGTGCAGGTGCACCGGTGCATTATTGAAATAAATTCTAAAGCGTCGTTAAAACCGATTTCATTTCACCGTACATCTAGAGGGAAATGCTTTTACCTGACTCTAATATCGTGCAAGTCACATCTGTCACAAACACGTGCAAGTAGTGTTCATATACATCTATTCATTTGCCAAGACACTATCACAGTGAAGTAGTATATGAACATATGACATTTCGCCTTGGAATCACTGTCACACCAATTATTGCTGTCCATAAATATATCCCGTATTGTTGATTGTCCCGTACAGACCAGGTTCTTCTTGCGTGACATTTGATCAGCCCGATCATGTTACAGGTATATTTTTGAGTGACATTTGATCGGTCCTATCATCCTGGTGATTGCTCATCTCCTAACGTCAACTCTGCACCACAGTACATACCACGCTTTGACATTAGTATGTAATTTCACTTTGTCTTTCATCTTAAATGTCGGAAGCTAACGACCGAGCTCAATGGCAAGAGAAAGATATTACATCCAGTAAAAAGTTAATACAAATTGAAACGAAAAATGCAATTAATTGTGAAGATTTAACTTCTTGCTAATGCAAAAGATACTACATCTAGTAAAAAATCTAATGAAAATTGAAACGAAAAATGCAATTAATTTTAAATATTTAACTTCTTCCGAACGCGAATTTCCTTATAACAAACCACTCATATAATATTAGGCACATTCCTGGCAAATGACGAAAGGACCAAAGCCTGTACACTTACACAAGGAATGAAAGCTCACTGAAAATCTGTGAAGACATTAATCGAAAGACCATTTCTAATTTGTATCGTATTATAGTCACTTTGAAGCGTAGATGTATACTTTCTTGTTTATATTATTAATCTTTCATAGTAAAAAAAAGAGTTTTAGCTTTACCTTGGGTAGAGATTTAAGAGCTTCAGATACTTACAGCATAGGTATATCAGATAATGTGTTAGTGTACCTTTAGCAAGACATGCAATGTACTATAATAGGACCAGATCAACTGCAACATAAGTGGGTGTAATTTAATGTCATCAGCATCTTGTGAAGTGTTGCTGAGGCCTGGCATGGTAATGCTTAAATCAAGTGTAGGGTGTTGTAAAACTCACGTGTGATCAATGTAAGTTAGATGTATGGCCTTTGTAATATATAGTTTAAGTTATATCATTACTGACAATCCAGAATCATAATCAGGGCTAATTTGGGAAAGCTCAAATATCAACGTTTTCTGACTTTCCCTTCATAGTAACTTATGGCACCAATGACGTCAGGGTCACCCACCCAATAAGCCAAGGAACACATCAGAGAATCAAAGTTTTAAAACCATGACTAGCGGAGCCTGCTCTGACCATTCACAGGGAAATAACCAATCAAAATGACAAATTATATGTTCCGGTTTGCTATCATTTCATAAAGCATGTGTTATATATACACTACCTATAAATTGTTGACACTTTATATCTTTCCATTCCAGGTGTTTCAGTCGGAGTCAGTTGCTTTACCTTGGTGGCTATTTCAATGGAGCGCTATTTCGCCATCTGTAGACCCCTCCACTCCCGGTCGTGGCAAACCCTGTCCCACGCGTATAAAGCCCTGGCAGTGTGCTGGCTCCTTGCCTTTGTTGTGATGATTCCAATCGCCGTGTTCCAGAAGATCATTCACTATCCCAGAGTCAACGTCAGCATGTGCGCCGAAGTGTGGGGCGACAAAAACTTGGAAAAAGCGTACGCCATTGCTCTAAATTTGATACTGCTTATTCTGCCCATCATCATCATGAGTGTTGCGTACGGGATGATCTCCTATACATTGTGGCTTGGGATTAAGATGGAGGAACAATCGGATAGAAATAAAAGTAAGTATCAAATACCCACCAGATTTGTGAAATGTTGAATCAGTTGGATATTTTGGCGCTGGTGATATTTCCGCCAAAGGAAAGTGTGCTTAAGATGACGTTGTTCTTTGGTTCTGACAGACCAGCGCATTTGGCTCAGGGTGTATTCGTACATGAGATAAGCAGTTCCTCCTTGGAGGGGAGAGTGTGTGTGCGCGTGCGTGCGCGTGCGTGTGTGTGTGTGTAGGGGTGATTATGTCACTTTCGTTTCACACGTTTCCCAAAATTTTGAAATAGCTTCTCTGTACGTATACAAGCAATCTGTATTCACCTTCACCATTTCCGATGTGAAATGCAGCTCTTGATACTATGACTGACACGCAGTGGTTTGTAGGTAATATAAACCCTTACTGGTCCCGCCTTGACTCAGTAGCAGATGTGGCTTGCCCAGGCAAGAACCAGAACATGAGTGTCTGTGGTGTTTAATTTGATGCAATGACTTGTATAGAGGCAACAGTTTAAGATCAATTTGCAGTTCTATTGGTCGATCTAAGTCGTCTAACTCCTTTTTGGGTGCACGTTTATCTCAGTTCAGGACACCGTAATTTCAGCGACAATCTGACAGTGTTAAACCTGGTGAGACACAGTCCAGACGTGGAGTGGCCCTCAATCGAAGTTTCACATGGAAGTTGAATTTCCTTTAACAGCCATAGTCCTTCTTAACTAATGGGTTCTATTATGGTGCAAATGATACGTTCCGATATACACGTGGGATTACTAATACATGTATACTCAACAGTCAATGCACCCCTGGAAGAAGACATGTAGGCTAAGTTTGAAGTGATCGATTGAGTGAGTTTGGTTTAACGCCTCTGTGAACAGTTATTTCAGTTATGTCACAGCGTGTGGGCTTAAGTAGGATTAAAGACCGCAGGGAGTCACCGGCGTTCACGTTTTATATTTAATTGAACTGGGTCTGTGTTTGTCCATGTGGACGGAAGTCCTCGAGTTTTGTCGTACGCTCAGTAGCATTTATCAGTTCCTCTGAGTCAACTACAAAGGAAAAGTTCGTATCGGGCTATTCAAACTACCCCCACAGTTTATATGAGCGTATGATCAATGCACTTGTGTATAGCAGACATATTTCATATTAATTAACTTATCGATTTCCGATTCAACAAAATCAATAATTAAAGGTCGTGTTTGACCATTTGGCGAGCACCAATACAGAATTTTCAGGGATGCATTCCAAAACATTCCCCCACACTGTCTTTCAAAAATTCAGTTGAACCAAACCAGACATTTCATTAAATTACAAGTACAGATATTGTGTTGAGAAAGCAAGAAAAGTAATCAGGGATAATTTGGGGTTCAAACCGGGGTACCGCGACAAATATGTTTCGGTGCCAATTGCCTTTAAAATGAAATCACAGGACAACAGGTTCAAGGGTTCACAAAGCAGCATTTGTACAAAGGAACTGAAGTGACGGATTTTAAAATATACATCACTAAACGAGTGTGGGTTATGCTGCATTTACATATTAAATCAGGGGCATGACTGCTATCAACACCTCTTGACAAGCTGTAGTAAGGAGATTGTGATTTTAATAGAAACTCATATCAGGAAACCGAACTAAGTGACATTTGGAAATTGATTCCACTCACAAACTCGCTGAAGCCATCATCTCTGCAGTTTTATATCAGACCTTCTGACTTTTAATAGTGGTAAAACATTCACAATATGAGAAAAAATAATCAACTTTAAATGTTTTATATTATATTACTATTTTATTACAGATAAGAAGGACAAAAATGGCTGCCTGTCGAACAGCGACCACTCACGAGGAAACGGTGCTGGTTACATGGAGCCTGACTACACAACAACAGCCACCAGCAATACCAAGAGAACCTTCAGGAAGTTTGAATTTAACCGAGCAATGAGGCAGTCAAATAGCGAGAAAAGTCGTGCCGCCAAGAAAAGAGTTATAAAAATGTTGTTCGCAGTTGTGCTGGAATTCTTCCTGTTTTGGACGCCTACCTACGTCGTGGCAACCTGGATTGTTTTCCATGAAGACAGTGCACGGGCGAACATCTCTCCCCTGACGAAATCTTTAATTCATTTATTGTCATATGTGTCAGCGTGTTCAAACCCAATCACATACTGTTTCCTTAACAAGAACTTTCGACAAGGATTTCTGTCAGCGTTCCGGTGTTTGCGAAGACGTTACATATACGCCCGACAGAATGAGTTGTCTTTCTCTGGAAATACTGCAACCACTCGCACAGGGGCAACGAACATGGGGACGTACGATAAGATACACGACTCGGATGATATATCAGAAAAGAGCTTTTGAAGGATTCAGCTGCAACTGGAACAACATCCATTGCAGGTTCATACTCAACGACAGACTGATGTCAATGGAGTTAACCTATGTTTGATATTTATATGCAGATTCAGAAACAATCAGGATGAATACGTTTGGGGACAGGTTTAGTTTTCCATTATATTATCTTTAAATAATAAGCAGCCGGTGGTAGAAGGGGATTGAGGGGAAGACTGAAACGAGTCGACATGCGTCACGTGCTCTTTGAAATTAATGTTTGTATTGTAATAAGGCAAAGGTAACTTTAATACGATAACAATACAGTAATACTACTGAAACATGTAACACAGCGATGAAAGTGAGTATGTCTGTGAGAACTATTTTTTTTCATTTTGTACACATAGCAAACCACTTGTTCATCAACATTCTGACAAACACCTGTTATGTCTGTCGCATGAAGCCGACGATTTCCGAATGCTAACAAAACGTAATCCAATACTGTAATGTCGTTGCAGATGTCGTTATACATTATAACGTCTGTGAGCGCCATGCCAACAACCAAGTGTATGTATTAGAAACTTACCCTCAGATCTTTAGGTACCATATCGGAGGTAAAGATCTGGTCGTTGAGGGATTGCAGGTACTTATACACGGGGAATCTTATGGGTGAAGTTTACGTTGACTGTGTTTTGATTACAATGTACGCTTCGTTACAGAAACGTTTTAAAATATTTCAATATTTTGTGATATTTAATGTTTTGAAGTGGAAGTGTTGTGAACGCAGGGGTTGTCAAAAGGGTCGGAAACTTTTGATGTGATGAAGTCATAATTATTCGGCCATTGACCAATAATATGGTATATACGATGACGCTCAATCAGTCCGAAACGTCAATATCTGTCTGTGTATTCAGTGAGATATTTCCCAGTACCCGTCAGTCATTAATGAAAAGGACACTCTTGGACCAAATGATGTACACACTACACTAACTGAATTCAGAAGTAACTCCGACAATGTATTCATTTGGGTGACAGTTACGTTTTTTATTTATTTTAACACATGCATATTTTGGAACAGCAGTGTGGCCTTGTTTATAGGTAAGACTTGCAAAGTGTCAAAAGTTTTCAACAGGTGCTATGTTTTGCTATAAACAAGGACAACCCAACCTTTCTATTCAAAAGTTCAAAATTAAAAACACATCCATATTTATTTTTGTCAAATGTATTTGCTCATGTCAGAGGTGCAAATTTACATGTGAAAGAAGACACCTTAGCTGTCAGTCATTTGAACATGTTGATTGTTTTCTTGTCAGTTATGGAAATTATACTTGTTCTTTGGAAGGACTAATGGTGTCTCTGTTTCACAGGGATAGGGTCGTCCGGATTTATGGGCTTTCCATTTAGGTACATTGGAACAATTGTGAACTTTTACGTATCTGCAAGTTCTTGTGAATCACGTAAAGGGTTTTTCGGTTTTCAAATTACTATTACCAGCCTAAACATTATTGATACAAATATATGTCGGAATGTTTCTTTTAGTAGGTATTTGTACGATTGTACACAGATATACACACTAGTCGTCTGAAGCTCCAACGCTGAACATTTTGTAAAGTTATGAATACACAGTGCCATTTAGAAAGTAGTCAAATGTAAAACATGTTATATTTGGGATGGCACTTTCTGAGATTCCACCGAAGCAGCGATGGCTGAGTGGGTTAGACGGCTGGGGATTAGATGCCTGACTCCGATGGTGTGGGTTCGAATCCCGGATGGTTCTCAACCCGACAAAAGTATTAGAATATGTATTTTACTGAGAAAATGCAATCCCAAAAATAACATGAATTCATTTTGAAAAGTTGTTCTTTTATTTCTGTGATAATGAAAAGTCTCATAGAAGAAAATAAGAGCAAAATGAGAATTCATGCGATGTATTTTCAGCCCCTGCGCGATTGTTTAGAATGTTATTTATTTCACCGTATCACCCGTATTGATATTAATGTTAAAAGCACGTGCCTTGAGCTTCATTCCATGTTTTCCAGTTTATACTGTCATTATGTTTCTATGTTTCTATGGGACTTAAACGAGCCGCGGTTTCAAGTCGACATATTTAAACTCAAGAACGGAATAAAACAAACATGCCCTGGCATATACATATACATGTACATGAACGTCTAACCAAACTTGACATGCATAATATTCTCAGACCGTATACAAATCTGGTCGTTACTCTCTGCAAGGGCAGTGTACGGAAACAAAGACCTGCATCCTATTCCCAATGTGGTCTGGCCGGACCGAATCTGTTTCTGCTGATCCCGTTACTGAACAGTTGAGCAAGATCTTCTTCAGAAAGATCCCCGGAGCGTGCATGGCCATTCGAAGTCGTCATGTTGTTTTCGGGCAGACAACGTCGATATTGATCACGTGACAAGTCAGTATTGTACATATGTTGACGAGTAACTGTTTAAGCTTTGACCAAACCGTTTCGTTTAAGTTTTCTATTGTTTGGTAAGCACTGAATAGAATTATTTCATCACTTGATGTAGATTAACATAAGTATTTTGTACCGTATAACATTGGCAACATATACACGTAATTCTTGCACAGAACGAACCACACATCTGACACGGGTATTTCCTCCATAATGTACAAAACGCCGTCTTGGGTGTAAACTGCGATGATTTTCAAACGTACACACTCACATACTGTTTTAGAAACACATTTTCCAGTTGGTTCTTAAATATTCTCAAGGCGCCGTGTTCTTATATCATAAACACAGTATTTACTCCAACGACCAGGAACGTTTACGTTTGTATATTGACAGGCTTCCAATCCCATTTTGGTATACGGGTTTCGGTGGTCGAGAAGGTATACTGAGCTCGGCAGTGTGGTACGCAAATGAAGTCATATTTGGCATACAGATACAACATTTGAGTCAGAAATAGTGGCATACGTAGAATATTCCTTCATGTAATATGTGGAAAGAGAATCTGAATTATGCTTAAAATTGAGATTTGTGGTTGTGGTAGCGGGGATTCAGGGGTCTGCAAATCTGATTCAAAGTATAACTAGATGGTAATCAGGATCCAGTTGGAGAGGGATAGGCACTGATATGTACATAACTGATTAGAAAAAGCAAACTACTTGGACTTTCACGATCAGCCTATGTCATCAGAAGCACGACAAACAGATTCCATTCTTTGTTTTCTCTCTACTGAAAATTCGTCATTTCCTTGTTTCAGTGAACATGAAATTGGTATGGAATAATCCGTATTTCGAGTCATGAATAGTACCAAAATGCTACAATGATTATGGTCACAGAAGATAACACTGCAGTTTTCTTCATTGTAGCAAGGTTTCCTGTTTCATATGTTTTCCCTTTTTGCCCCAATGGTTTTTGTATTCATGGAAATAATGTTGAACGTGTACTATCACCATATGTTCATCAAATTTAACTGAACCGTTAACGTCATTGATATTCCCTCATGTGACACGCCGATTGTTGTTTATTTCATTGTAAGGTACACCATATGCATTCGTATTCTGACGCGCTCAATGGAAGAGCAATTGCAGAATGTAATTTGATAATTACAACAGATGTTTGGTACCGCTGTAAATATATATTCAGATTAGGACTTCCATGTTCACTTTGAAAATCACTCATTTAGAATTGAAAATAGCCCTACTACTTGACAGGGGCAGATTAATATTAGGATGTTTATATATGAATTACGGTTTTCAGGATACAACCAGATTTGGCAGATTACTGAACACGAAGGATGCTGTCACCTGCTTAAAAAACGCTAGCCTCAAAAAGTGGCAAATGAGACTGCATTATTCATGCATACGCTTACAATGGTAGAAGGGGAAGGTTTCCTCTTTGGATATCCAGAACGTGTGTCCATCGAAGTGACGAAAATTAATGGTGCTCCACACACTTTCGTTGCACGTAGAACGCCTACTGCTACTAACGCGGTATTCCTGCCGATTGTACCAACGTTGGCTCAGCAGAATATAAACTTTAAATATTATTATAATTAATTATCTCGAAGAGGATAAGTACTGAATAAGGGATTAAGTGTCCATCATTATGTTACAGTTTCCCATGTGACGTCATGTCAATGTGTTATAAATGAATTTTGTTATCACCGTGCTTTCCCAGCTGCACAGCTCTAAACTGTACAAGGCCCCGCTCCACAGAGCAACGTTGCGAGTGCTAAGATTGTTTTGCGAAACGGGGCAATGGACAGTGGTAAATATTAAGGATCACATGTTATGAAATTGCAGACACTATTTTATGTACTTGTTCGTGTGTGTTAGGTCAATAAAGCATATGTTTGTTTACATGTTTTGGAAATAATCCCGGATCGATTTGTTTCAAAAGGACCAGTTGATGTATATGCATAGAAGTGGATTGATATCTGGATATCTAACATACGTTCATACAGCTTAAACGTCGTTGTCGTTGACGTCACACGCATCACCAGTTCCGCTATATGGCGCTGGATACGCCTGGAGGGTCAACGCTGCAGTATATGCATGGTCAAGCCGCACGGAGCAATATTCCAGCTATATGAATGCGGTGTGTAAGCAATCGAGTATGGGCCAGACAATCCAGTAATTGACACCATGAGCACCGACCAGTGCATTTGAGATACGACGAAATGCATCAACCACGTACTGAGCCTGACCCATCAGTTCTAACGCTGATCTTCACAGGTAGATAGGTCATACCGCCATACAAGCGTTCCAGAAAGTAATCATGATCGGTTGACCACGTTTCAATTACGTTGGCCACCTCCTCTGCTTAGAGGATAGACCAGTGGTTTGATTCCTTGCCAAAAAAAGCAACTGATGATACTTGTTGTCACCTTTCTCTGCTAAAGTAAGTGTGTGTTAGTATTTATCGTTAAATCGCAATATTTCAGCCTTATCGTGACGAGAACAATTAATTATCAATAAAGATCAACAATATTAGAAGCTTGAAAACTGTTTACGATGAACAGTAAAACTATAAATGTATCACAGAGATGTAAAGCTAGCATGTAACTAAAAACTTTTTCTATAATGCAAGACAATACAATATAAAACGGGCTGATAACCATGTTCTGCTAAAGATAAAATAAGTATGGTTGGTTCCATGTGGGACATGCATTTATTAAACTCTGGTATGGTATCTCCAGGAAATCTTCGAGAACAGGTGCATCCTCCTTCAGCCCGGACAAACAAAAGAACACACGCATCACCTTACCTGTTCCTAACGGAAATGAACACAGGCATCAGTATGGCTGTGCTTATACCCTATTAATTAATACAAACTGTCAGTGTTTTTCTTCAGTTATAGTATATTAGGAAGGTATTTGCAAGGCACAGGGAACGTGTGAACACAATGTGTTGGTGCGGTTGCTTAATATCAACGTTGTCACGGGCCGTATTAGACACGACGTTAGCCCTAGCAGTCGGAAAAGGGTTAAAGATCAGAAAAGGTGAAATGTCCACACTATGCCAACCCAAGCGAACACAAACACACTCATTATCATCGGTATCAGTAGCTTCTTAATAGTAATATGACACCAAAATCGGCATACAGCCTCTTAAAAATGATAACACACGTAGCTTGATACGATGACAATAAAATCGGCAAACACCTATATACATTGTACAAGAGTCGATTGAACAATTGCGGCTGTATCATGAATGTTTATGAATCCACCATCAAAGCACTAATGATATCAGGTGTTATTCTGATCAACCGGTGGCACATAATTTATGCAAAGGGTAGTCACAGTTTCACCTGAATAAACTCTGGAATGCATAGTCAAAGTCAAAATAAGGAATTGCATCGGACATGCTTTTTGTCACTGATGACTCCAATTTCAAATGTCCTATAAATACATGTAAAAAATGGAACCTTTTGAAAGCGTTGCTGAGGTCAACAATAGCAGTATGAAGCTTGATGAAAAGAGCATGCTCGAATGAACCTCAAACGTAGTGAATAGTAAACGCCAAAGGCTGGAGCTGTTGGAATATTGCCCTACATGAAGGGAAAGTTGACCACTGGAAAGATGTCGCTATTTGGCATACATAATTATTCTTTTCTTTTTCATGCATATATCCCAGCATCTGATGTTCAACATCTGAACTAAAGAGGGCCAGGAGCGTTGGCTTTTTCCGTGTTATCGTGCCCCGATGGCGTTAACAGCTGCTCTGAACCATTCTATACACTGGCGGCTAATTTACTCATTTACATACGCACTTTCCCAGATTGGCGATTATTCAGTCTCCATTTACAAAACGAGTAAACATATGTGTTTTTTCTTTCTATATTTTTGTTTTCAGTAAACCAGCTAATGCATTTACATAACTAGGTTAGGGGCAAGCAAACCAATTACTGCCGGTGACGGTATATAGCCACAAAATAGCTATAGGGAACTATCAACCAAGTCACAGTACCCAATCCATTAAGGTTTTTACGACCAACACTGATGCCGACGAAGTGTTCTGCCCAGGATTCGCAACGGTAAAGATTCGCCCATCCTACTGCTGTCTTTCTTATGTAGGTTTATGACATGATCAGAGAGCAAAGCAGTATATGTACTATATACATAAAGTGTATAGGTGAATGCAAGATCGAAGTATCGGGCTCAAGGGGAGATGTGGGTGTTGTGATAAAAATATCCTCTTGCCTATGTCATGTACAATAATAAATGGAAAAACGAAACAAACATTGACATTACATATGTCACTAGCTGAGGTTCTTGAGGGGCATTCAGAAGTTGGTGTTTTAAGTAAAAGTTCTGCTTTATTGTTTCTGGGCTATGTCACCTGGCAAGGAGCAAGGAATAGCCCAGAAACGTTATGACATACAATAAAGATTGAAGAAATTGTCATCCATAATATTTGCTTTTTATATTTCAATAGTTGTCGTTCGCACCAATGTTATTCAGTATACTGTATTCAAAATAACTCCGTGATCTTTTCCGGGATGACAAACACGTATTCAAAATAATATACACTCTTCAAAAAAAGAAACGCATAGGAAAAAAATCAGGATATATATTGTGTTTATTCAAAAGAGCATATCTCATAACAGAATGAACCTAGTGAGCCAAAATGTCGTACACAGATTAACAACGGTATTGTGAATAGTGTCATCACGTTGTCATACCAGTCACTGCACAAGGTGTGGCCCCTGCAGAGGGCGTTATAGTCAGTACCTAGTATGAGCACCACGAGCTGCTGTCACTGCTCGACACCTCCTCGGAACAGACCGGATGAGACGTTTGATTCTTGCCTGGGGAAACCTCCGCCATTCCTCCTGCAACGTCACTGCAAGTTCTCCAAGCGTCTCCGGCACCCGTTGACGTTGACGTACAAGTCGATCCAGCTGATCCCAAATATGTTCTATGGGGTTCAAGTCTGGGGACCTGGACGGCCATGGCAAAATATTAATGTTCTCATTGGTTAGGTAGGCCATTGTCACACGTGCCGTATAGGGTCGGGCGTTCTCTTTCTGTAATATCTCTCGCTGGCGGTTGATAATGGGACGGACGTGTGGACGAAGAATCTGGTTAATGTACCGGTTTGCAGTCAGATTCCCCCTGAACCAGCACTAAGTCGGTCCTACCGGTGTATGATATGGGACCCCACATCACAACACCCCCTCCACCGAAGCGATCGACCTGCCGTACGCAGTTGGGCGCGTAACGTTCATTCCTACGCCGGTACAGACGTTGTCTTCCATCATGGCGTTGCAGGAGAAAAGGTGATTCATCACTGAACCCGATTCTCCTCCAGTTAGCCAGATTCCAGGGCTGTACGATGGTGCACCAGCGGTGACGTCGACGTCGATGTAGACGACGCAACACAGGCCCAACCATGGGGCGTCTCGCTCGAAGTTCCGCCTCTCCCAGGCGGTTGCGGATCGTTTGGTCGGATACTCGACGTACACCTGGCACATGTCCTGCTGTATACGTGGCTGTGGCTTGCCGAATACGTAGGTGGAACACCCGGATGTACCTATCCTGAGCAGGGGTGGTCACTCGTGGTCGTCCACTTCTTGGGCGATCTCGCGTCGAATTGAATGCTGTATAACGGGCCCACAGACGAGATATTGTGCTTTGGTGGACGTTATAATGACGTGCAACGGCAGATTGGCTTTCTCCAGCTT